ATGAAATGTTACCATTAATTGCCGTAATTTTCCCAAAAAATTATTGAAAATTATCAGAAAATTCTTAATAAATATCTATAAAATCGACCAAAAATTGTATTTAAAATTAACATAATATAACTTAAAATAAATATAACAAGAAAATAAGGTAAGCTATTGTATTAATGAAATGTTACCATTAATAGCCGTAATTTTCCCAAAAAATTATTTTTTTTTTCGATTTCCCGCCCGGTATCCGAGGCTTCGCCCCGACTAATCCGGACCCGACCTGGGTCGCGCACCTGGAAATGGTGGGTGAGTCCCCCAACGAAAGCTGCTGCATACGCAAGGACTCGAACTCGATACCTTATTTAAGCTGAAATAAGCCGCTTACCACTTGATCCAATCCTTCGTTGGTTTCCCAAAAAATTATTGAAAATTATCAAAAAATTCTTAATAAATATATATAAAATCGACCAAAAATAACAAATCAAATTATGCTAATATCAAATGAAATAATCACAATGCATTATAGTCTAACCTATAAAGAAAAATACAAAGTATACATAAAATTAGTGTACTTGGCCTTTCGAACCAACTGACACCCTATCAGCTTGAGGTGCATTCCCTTTACTTATGGGTGAATTTCGAGCCCTCTCTCCTTGACAACTTGTTAAAACGAGAAAAAAAAAAAAAAAGAGATAAAAATTAGTAATATTACCCAAATCTCACTTACCACAACTCGATCAGCTTCCGAGGAAAAAAAACTTCAAACTTTCACTACTTGGCTCGCTGGAGAAAAATGAAGGGAGGGTAGTGCAGCCGGGAGGAAAATGAAAATGAGAGGGGAAGGTTAATGGATGCAGAGCACCACTTACCAACGAGCTTAAGGTTGCTAATTGGAAAACTCACCGACGAGAAGCTTGACGGTAAGACAAAAGCTGATCAGCTTCTGCAGCCTACGGCTAACAAAAGCTGATTAGCCTCGGCTACCTACTGTTGCCGCGCCATCACTGACGAAGGTCAGATTGCAAAATCTTATAGTACCAACGAGCTTCTTGTTGGTGAGAAGAAAAGCTGATCACCTGCCTAACCGTCAAAGGCCATTCGATTCCCAAGGAGATTCTGTCAGTTTACCCACGTGAATCTCGTCGGTAAATAGAAAAGTTTGACCACCGATGTTTTTTTCTTCACATTTTCTGGTCAGTTGAATAGTTTCCCAGGTTACCGACGAGATTGTCGTTTCTATATATGTCCTTTACTGACCAAACTCCCATCTGTATCTTATCTAATTTAAATAAATGTGTGTAACAGGGTTTTTTCGAATGCAGACATATTGCTCATCGGTAAATGGCGCATTAACCAACTAAATTTCTCACGTCGGTGATAGTTTAGTCGATGATACCAAGTTCTCTAGTAGTGATAACAGGCAAAAGCCCAACGGGGAAATAAAAAATGGGAATGAAATCAATCAAGGATGCTTGAATCCTAACCACTAATTATGTAATCTAATACTGTCAAGTTAGCTATGGAAGCGTTTAACAAAATTGATAGATCAAATAAATATGAGAGAAATTCACATAATTTCATTGAAGACTTTAAAGATCTTGAGGTGGATGGTCAACAGTAGAATAAAACAAGAAATTTCTTGATCTTTTTTATAGCTTACAACTTAAAATAAACAACTTAAAGAAATAATAAACAGGCATTAAGTGAAGTTCATGCATAGCACTAAAGCAAAAAGAGAGGATTAAAGTGAGTCTCTGAGTCTCATTTTTTGTATTCTTTTGCTATGCTGCTGAGTTGAAGAAATATGTTTAAGATGTTAAGAGATGCAGCCTGCGCCAACATGTAGGGAGAAATCACTTGATTGTTCTACGGATGCAATAGTCAGCAACCAAAAAAGAAAAAAAGAAAAAAAATTGGCTCCTTAAAACAGGACATACCTGGGTTGGGCATTAAAAATTGAACACAGTATTCAATCTGTTTGATGAATTTCAAGCCTGAGCAGACTAACACTCAATGAATAACCCAGTACCTGGCACACTGTGATTAATTGAAAAGGAATTAGCTTGTATTTAACCCACATACTTTTAGTTAAACAAGATATAGGATTTTCCCACTCAACATCAAGATTAGATTGACATTTTGAATCGTTCAGAAACCCTAAACAGGATTAGTACCGATCAAATGATACCCGTGCGAGGGATGTAAACAGAGAGATTAAAGAAAAATAAATAAAGATAAAAAGACTTACCGCTGATCTTTAACGAAAGGTTGAAGGACATTCTTGGCGTTAGGATTGTCCCACTCCAGTGATTCCCACCATGTTCTTGGATATATTCTGATTTCTTGAAGAGCAGGAGGAGGAGGAGATGGTTGCCCGTTGCCATCAAGACAAAGGGGAATCCTCTTCAACCTGGGACACTTGCATATGGTAATGGAATTGAGAGAATCACCAAGCATTACCCCGCTTTGGGGGCAAATTTTCTTCAATTCTGGTAGGTTACCCAAGTACAATTCCCTCAACTTCGGAAGAATGAATGCAACAGTTGTTTGATTTCCTTCCTCTTCTTCCCATCCTATTATTTCCTCCATCTCTTTGCAAGCATTGACCTTAATCTTCTCCAGGTTTTGGAGGCCCTGCAGAAGCTTACATGGAAACAAATTCTTCATTTTTGAGCAACCGCTTATAGAAAATGTTTTAAGAGTTGAAAAGATGTGAGGGAATGTTGGTGCTCGTGATGCAGCAATATTTTCCACTTTCACAAGATCAAGCAAGCTGGGCAAGCGAGAAAGATGTAGAGATTCAAGGCTATTCATAGCTGTGGAGGAAGACAATGAGGAGACCACACACTCTATCTCTTCACAGTTCATCAAAGTGTACCTTCGCAACTGAGTTGTGTTTTTCAGAAAAACAGAAATATCACTTCCGCTATTGCAGTCCCAAAACCATAAATCCTGTACGTCATCTGGAAGCACCAAACTATCTTCTCCTCCTATATTGCAATGTCCTAAGAGCACCCTTTTGAAACAACCATTTTGGTTAAATTTCCTGAGAATCAAATAATTGCGTGGTTCCATTACCACTTCAAACACATAATGACTGAGTCTTTCAAAATGTCTTGACTTGACATAATTGTTGAAGTCTTCAAGGCTATTTAAACGACCTTCAAAAGTTTCCAACTTTTTCAGTCTCGTTACTTCATTTCCTCTTATTGCATCTTCGGTTGAACTCCAATCTCTAGATTCTCTGCGCAGGTATTGGAGGCGAGAGAGGTTACTGATGATTCCTTTGGGTAGCTCCTCTAGGCGTGGGCAAGATAAATCAAGATAGTGAAGATTTACCAACATTTTAATGCCTTTAGGGACTACAAGAAGGCCTGCATCGTAGAGATCTAGCTTGTTCAGTGCCTTAAGCTTTGCCAAGGAAGGTATCCATTCTAAATTTCTACATTCACGGAGGATCAATGCAGTAAGATTTTCCAAGCCACTTATGGAATCAGGTAGATGCTTTACACCAGTGGAAGAAAGATCAAGAAACTTAAGAACAGGCATATTTGCAAAAAAACACTCCGGTAGTAGTCTCAATCTTTTATTACCCTTCAAAATCAAGGTTGAGAGCATGGGGCATTTTGGGGACATCTTTGAGGGAATATATGATATGTTGTTTTTCATGAGAGAAACCTTCTCTAGATCTTCAGTCCATTTATCCTCGTTTGGCATCTTTGTCAATCCAATCGAAGCTTTTACCATACAACTAAGTGGACCAATGCTGTTGATGCGCAAAGCCATGGCCCTTACAACATCATGCATCTTAACATATCCCTCCTCATTGGCTTTCTCCAACAAAGAATTGTTTTCAAGACTGTTTAAAATAGCATGCCCTTTATCATGCATTTCTCGTCTACTCCCTAATTCTTCAATTAGTCCCCCACCAATCCAATCTTCAATTAGACGTTCTTTGTTAATTGCAGAGTCTTCTGGATACAATGAGCAATATAAGAAACAATTTTGGATGTTTAAATTTGGAAGACAGTCATAACTATACTTCAAACAACTAAATATTTCATTTTCTGAACCTTTCACTGTGCCCACCACACATTGATGTAATTCACGTAATGCATTTCTCCACTCACAAATATCTTTTACTTCTCTCATGCTCCTTGCAATTACAACAATGGCCAATGGCAAACCTGCACATTCACCCACTACAAGCTTCAAAATCTCTTCTAAATTAGGAATTTGGAGAACGTCTCGCCCCACCTTATCTAAAAACAAATTGAAAGACTCTTCTTTTGAAAGAGGTGGCACTTTAATTATCTGACAACCCAAGTAATTGCATATGTCAATCGATCTACTAGTAATAACTATCTTGCACCCATTTCTACTTGTTGGTTTTGGGATTCCAACTCTTTGGAGAGTGAACTTATCCCAAACATCATCCAAAATCAATATGAATTTCATTCTTTGCATAACATTCATCAATTTTGGTGCCAACTTTAGCTCATCCTCACTCTCTAAATGGCATTTTCCCAGTTCCCTAGCAATGTCATGTTGTAATTTTGCAACACTGAGTGGATGTGATACTGTTACCCAAATGACCTTATCAAAGCCAATAGGTTCTTTCAATAACTCATTATTTATGTGCATCATAATTGTGGTTTTTCCAACTCCTCCGATTCCACAAAGTCCGATCATTCCAACCTCATGACCCCGCAAATATCCCCAAATTTTTTCCTTCACATCAACTTCTCCCTCCAAATTCTCTACTAACAAACTGGTTCCAATAGGTGGAGGCCTTTCAATTACAAGACCTTCAAGGAAATTGCCTCGATCATAAATTTCCCTCACTTGTTGAATCTTTTGACGAACACGTCTTCCAAGGCTACCCCGTGACAAGTATGGAACATTTTGAACCTCTTCTTCAATATCTGGCATTTCAATTTCAATGACAGTCCTCGCATCTGCAAGCCATCCCTGCACTTCTTCTTTAACTTCTTTTTCCGAGTCATCCACTGTTAGCAGCTCTGCTACTTTATCATTTCTTCTGCGTTTTAGATCTACCACTGTTTTTTTTAGATCATCCACATCATTTCGGAAGTTTCTGTGACAATCTACATAGTCAATCACACTTCCAAAAAATCTATCTTTCATGAAATCCATAAAGGAACTTCCTGAATGAAATAAAAAGGAGTCTTATTAATTAAATGTTAGTTTCAGGTAGTGTGTATTTACGTTGGCAAAAAAAATAAAAAAAGTAATGTAGTCAGTTTTAATTATTATACCATCTGGTTCAACATACTATAAAACATACTCATTAAAAACTTAATATTTCTTGGTACAAAATTATAGTTAAACAAATTTAAAAATGAAACCTTGCATACAACATCCAAGAATCAACTAAATCAGTTGAATCAATTAAATTAACTAAATCAATTATACTTATATTATATTTTAATAACTAGACTAAATAAGTGTCAAAAGATATGTCGAACTTGGTGGTATGCAAACAATTTCCGTAACTTAAATGTTAGAGTAAATGAATCACTTCTAAAGATATTTTTGCCTTTATGCTTTTAAGTTCTAAAATTACTTTAATGTGAAAACAAATTTATTAAGGATAAAACAATTTTATTAAGGACACTGATACAGGTACTATTCAACTCAACACACTTTACAATAAATTCATTTAAAAACTATTAATTTTTAATTTGAATTAAAAGTAAAAAAAACTTAAAATTTTAGATTTTAATAGTTAAATTGGTGCGTAAATGTTGAATAAGATGGTGTATCATTCATTTTCTTTTTATTAATCTTGTATTTTAATTCATTTGGAATTTAAATTGACCATTACTTTTCAGGATATAATTATGGTTATCAATTTATATATGAAAACATCATTATGATGATGAAACCCGGTAGAATAAGTGGTCAAACAATTAATAAAATGGGTCTTCTTCGTTCGTATGGTTCGGATTGAAACTCTTATTTTCTCTCCCCATTCGTCTCCACCGGGAGGGTTTTAATTTGATGGCCTGTCCCTTTAGAAAAAAAATCATTATGATGGTGATTTTGTTAATCTTGCATTTAAATTTATCTAATTAATTTATTTTATTCCATAAAATTTAATAACATTAAATATATATTAAAAAAAATAATTTCCTGATGGAATAGTTCTAAAAAAATATCTTCAATATGTAGTTATTTTTTGGCTTAGCCCCCTAATTAATCTCCTAACTCATAAATTTTAAGGTTATTAGTCCTTCACTATAAAAAAAGTTAAGGTTATTAGCTACATAACAATATGATTTGGGAATATTCATCATTATTTGAAAGATTTAAGGCGTGCTTCTTATATGGGTATTAGTTAGACTTAACATCTTCTCTCTTACTTAATATGCCATAGTGGCAATGACAGGGCTGGGCGGGAATTTTCTGCTCATGGCCACCATGGCATATTAGATTGGTGAAGAAAGAGATAAAAAGGAAAGTTGGTGAAGAATGTGAAGAAGAAGAGCAGGTGATTGGGTTAATTACAAACAACAATGGAGGAATTTGGGAGTAAGGGTTTCTGCAAGGTTACAGCCGATGGTTTGGTGAGGAAAGTCGAGTGAGGAAGAAAGAGATGCAAGGAAAAGTTGCCTTTATATTTTTTTTGGAATAATTTGTAATTATTTACAGAATTAATTGGGGAAGAAGGAAAATGAATTTCGTAAAATTCAAACGTGCAACTCACTGAAGGTAAATAACCTTAGTCCAGAGTTCAATGCCATGCACCGAACTGGCCGTTCCAAAAAGTTGCCTTTATATGATTTTTAAAGAAAAAAAAAAAGAGAAAAGTGGTCCCATTAATCAGTACAGGTGGACTAAAAACTATTAAACAAATACTTGAACTTTTGATCGTTGAGCACTTAACGGTCAATCTAAACGGAAATATGGACGGCATCCAATTAAGGATGACATTGAACAAAAAAAGGATAGTTGAGGGACAGCATTTATACTGTTTGCCAAACAGAGGGATGACATTGAACATTTCCTAAGTAGGGGATGGTAATGAACATTTTATCAAAGTATGAGGACTACAGTTGGCTTTAACCCAATTATAGCACAACATAAGAATTGTTTAGTATTCCTTTTTTTCTTAATTTAATGTTTTATTATATTTTACTCTTTACTCTTTGGTACAATTGTTATTTTATTTTAAATTAAATTCTATCTCTTATTACTTATTATTACTTATTTAATATTAAGAATTAGTATATTTTAACTGAATCTTTAAAAAAATTAAAAAAAAAATTAATTTAAAATTATGTCATTTTAATAAAGTCTTACAAAAATTATTAAAATAATTTCATTCTATTTTATAAATAGACCAAATCTCTTATTTGTACTATGAATATTATTTTTGGTCAAAACCCTTATTTGCACCCTCAATTTATGTCATTTTCGCGGTCAACACCTTCCAAAACTTTTCCTCCCTATTCACACCCTTAATTTTTCAAAACCCGTGAAAAATCTAATATTTTAATAGGCCGCAATGGCACAGTTAAAAAATGCATCACCTGACACCCAAAAATTAATGTGGCACTATGTGACATTAATAATCCAATGTGAATCCCTTTTTTAATGATGTGGCTTATTTTTTGTACACGTGAACGTTACATGTACAGTAAAGCCATAAAAAAAAAAAAAAAAAAAACAGGGAACTTTATTTCTAATAATACGTGGTACCCTTTTTGATGATATGATATAATTTTTTGCACACATTGACGTCACGTGTGCAAAAGGCCCCACTCCGAGAAGGACTTTCTCGCTTTTCCCTGCATTCCCACCCAAAAAAAAAAAAAAAAAAAACCTAAAACATGGAGCATTTAAAACAAATCTGCAGCAGTGGATATGTGGTGTTATTAATCAAATGTGGACGTTTTTAGATGATGTGGCATAATTTTCTTCTTTTTTTTGTAAAAATGTGGCATAATTTCCTACACACGTGGATGCCGCGTGTGCAATGGGGACCACTGTTCTTCTTCTTCTACCCCAATCTCAAAAACCCAGTTCTTATTCTTCTAGAGAAATCTTTCTCCAGTACAAGAGAATTACGATTGCAGCTGATAAAACCATGGCATGTGTGATTGGGTTGAGAAGAGCATGGAGAACGGCAATGCTACGAAGGATCAAGAACCAAAAGGGTAAGCATTTGGCCAATTCGCTAAAGAGAAGCAACAGTATTCATGGCATGAAAAAGATGGTGACAAAGGAAGAAGATGAGATCAGTTATGAGCAAGAAAACGAGCTGACAAGTTTCACGATCCTCTCACTATCCATTTCACGAATCCTCTTTGGATAACCTAGATCTGGGTCCATTTCCCCCTCACCATCCATTTCACAATCCAAGAAGACCCCAAACAAGTTTCAAGGTGACGAATCCTCACTGTAACCTGGATCGAGGTCCGTTTCTCCTCAAGCTTGCCTCTGACACGATCGCAATGGCTCCTTTCCTTGAAACCTCTTTTCCACCTTTGTCAATGGCTCCATTTCCATCTTTCACAGCACAGTGATCTCATCGAAAGCGATAGTAGCTTCCAACACTTTCCTGGCCTCAAGAAGCTTCTCAACAATCTCAGCAATCTCAGCATCGGTGTAGCCTTACTTCGTGAGTTTGTCCTCCATGACAACAAGCTTGAGCTCAATCTGATGCGTACAATCATGGTCGAGGATGTCCCTGTTGGGTTTCTTGGTGAGGTCAACAAATCCAATTCCATTGTACATTTGTTAAGGATTTGAGAAATCCTAGATCTAGAAACTGAGTTTTTGAGATTGGGGATGAAGTTCCTTGTTTTAGAGTTTTTTTTTTTGGTGGTTGGGATGCGAGACAAGCAAGAAAAATCCTGTTAACAGTATTTCCACTGCACACGTGGGCATCCACATGTATAAAAAATTATGTCACATCATTAAAAAAAGATTCGGATAAATAACGTCAAATAATGTCCACATCAATTTTTGGTCGCCAGTTAATACGTCACGGCACTGTTAAAATATTAAATTTTTTACGAGTTTTGAAAAGTTGAGGATGTAAATAGAAAGGGAAAATTTTGAAGGGTTTTGGCCACGAAAATAACATAAATGGAGGGTGCGAATAGAGGCTTTGACTTTTTTTTTTTTGCAATCAATTCACTTTAAAATTTTTATTTTTGATCAACACCCTCTAAATTTTAAAACTTATAAAAAACTTAAAAGTTAACAATTAAATACTATATTTGTACCCTAACTTGCACATAATCTGATAGTTAATTTTAAATTTTTTATGGGTTTCAAATTATAAAAAGTTTAATTAAAAGTAAAAATTTTAGAAAGTATTGACCATAAAAAGCAATAATATTCACAATGTAAATAGAAGGATTGGCCTTGTAAATATGTTATTTTGGTTTTTTAAATAAAGTAAAATAATTTATAAATACTATTGATAAACACTTTTTTCTTAATAGTATATCCTTAATAATCTTATCAATAAAAACTTGATTAAATTAATATTTATTAATTTAAAATTAAAATAAAAATTTTAATATTTATAATGTTAAACAATTAACTCTCTAATATACTTTAAAAAATCCTTGATAATCTTTCTTCCTTGTTCATTTGTGTTGCAAAACACTAAGGCAAAAAAAAAAGGAAAATTTTTATAGAAGTACTCAAGCGGGATTCAAACTATAATGGAATTCGGATCGGACCAGACCGGCGTAATATAATAGGTTAAAATCGGCCGAATGCAACCTGTGGCCAAGCCCAGGTGTGGACCCTGTCAATTTGATCTCAAGACTTGACCGAGCCAATGACCTTTCCAGTTGAGTGGACCTGACCTAAGACCATACCGAACAATGGGCCTTGAGCCTTGACCAAACCTTTCGGACCCAAAACTGAATTGTGCCACTTGAACCTTGGCTCGTTAGACAGAGGCAAAGGGAGCCTGTCGCGGTCGGGCACAGGCCCCTAAATTTTTAGTTTTGGTTAACTGTCTGTTTTGGTTTCTCTGCTTTAAGATTTTACATCATTTTTATCTTTTAATCTTTTCATTAGTTAATTAATTAAATTTATCTAAATATACATATTTTTAATTTTTTAACTTCTAATACATGCATATTTTTCATCCTTCAATTTTAAGTTAAGGGACCAAATATGTGTTTATTTAAATAAATTTAACAAACCAATGAAATGGCTAAAAAAATGTATTTTTCATAGTTAAAAGATTAAAAGTACATAAAAAAATTAAGAGACAAAAATTAAGTAAACCTTTAAAGTTGAGAAATTAAAATTGACATTTATCCTTTAGTTTTTTTTTTAAAAATACATTGGCGTACTTGCTTTTATTAGAATAATTAAAACAATATTTTATAATTTAAATTGTCTTAAATTATAAAATATTAAAATTTTAATAAAATTAAGACACTTTAATATTAGTGATATTATTTATTTTAAATTATAAAATAATGCACCCTATAGTAATTGTGGCCTTTTATTATTTTTATTTTTATTATTTTAAACTTCAGAAAGCATTATAAAAAAGACATTTTTTTCTATTCAATGGGTCCTATTAATGGACATGCCATTACGTTAATTTGATCGAATAATGATTAACGTTCCTATATAGAAATCTTGGGACAAGTCTCAAAATAGACGTTACTTATACCTAGTAAGGAAAGTATCCTATTTCGAAATGGTAGGGACTAATGACAAAAGTTTAACCAAAATTAGAGGGTCAATGCTAAATAATCTCAATGTATATAATGGCTGCCCCTCGTCTAAGGATTAAGTTTTATAGGATAATATAATTTAAATTATAAAATATATATTTTTTATTTTTGTAACATGTCATCAGTTATTAAATAGTAAAAATGTTATTTAGTACTGTTTTTTTTTAGAAAATAAAATTGTACCACGTACTATATGAATTTAACGCACTGTTTTTTGATAATGGGATATAGATTTTCAAGTTAATCTTTTAAAAGAAAAGTATAGGAAGAAAACATGTAAAATTAATTAAATATTTTTAAGGAGAGATCTATTTATGTGTAAAATTTTTATATTCTATTTATATAAAATTTTAATTATTTATCTCTTTATTTTCAAAAATTAAGATTTATTATGAATTTTTTAAATAAAAAATAATTATATTATATAAATATAAATAAATTTTGATCATTAAAAATAAAAAAATAATTTAAAATTTTTATCAATGTAATATTTAAAAGGTTAAATACCCTTTTTGGTCCCTCTACTATAGGAAAAAGCCCCTTTTTGGTCAATATACTGAAAAAATCCCTTTTTTTATCCCTAAATTTTAAAATTCGGTCACTTTTTAGTCCTTCCATTAATTTTTGCTCACGTGACACGTTAACTTAACTGGAATGGCTGATGTGGATATGCCAACATGTCAAAGATGCTTACATGGACTTAATGACACCCTCCGTGTCACCCTCTCCCACGCGGAAAATTTAAAAAAAAAAAGGTTAAATACTAAATTTGATTCCTTAACTTTATAAATTTGCACTTTTTTGGTCTTAAATTATTTTTTTTTCATTTTTTTATCATTTAACTCTAAAAATTACATAATTTTAGTCATTCCATCAGTTAAATATGCCGTGATAATTAAATAATTTTATTTGACATTTTTTTTTTTATGACATGACAATTATATATATATATTATATTTATAGTATATAAATAAATAAAAATGTCACGTAAATAAATATTTATATTTTAATTAAAAATAAAATTACATTACTACCCT